AGGTGTGGACATTCAGTCCTTCAGACAACAGTGAACTTTTTTTTTTTGGTAGAGACGTGGGTCTTGCTATGCTGGCCAGGCTGGTCTCAAACTCCTGGCCTCAAATATTTGTCCCACCTCAGTCTCCCAAAGTGCTGGGATTACAGGCACGAACCACCACACCCATCTAACAACAGATCTTTCAAAGAACTCTGGACGTACATTGTTGCTGGCAAAGGTCTTGGTTCTCACCCTAGTGATTGAGAAAACACAAAGGAACAACAGCTTCACTAAGTTGGAGCAAAGTCAATTTGAAAAGAATCACAGCAATTTAAAAAAAAAAAAAAACACCATAGCCAGATGCAGTGGCTCATGCCTGTAATCCCAGCACTTTGGGAGGCAAAGGCGGGAGGATGACTTAACCCCAGGAATTCAAGACCAGCCTGGGCAACATAGTAAGACCTCGTGTCTACAAAAAATAAAAAAATAAAAATTAGCTGGGCTGAGGCAGAAGGATTCCCTGAGTCCAAGGGGCAGAGGCTACAGTGAGCCATAACCGTGCCGCTACACTCCAGCCTGGGCAGCAGAGTGAGGCCCCTACTTTAAAAACAAATAAATAAACAAAACACCAGAGCTCACAATTCTTCTGAATCTATGCACATGGTCATTTAAGTGGGAGGATTTGAATCAGGCACTGAGGCTTACCCATCACTTCTGCTTTTGATTGGCATAGATCCAGCCAGCTCAAGTTTTCCTGAGGACAGACGGTGTCAGATGGCTTTCTCCCTTGAATTCATTCTTTCTCAACCCTCAGGAGTGTACCAACATTTTCTTCTCTGAGCCAATCTTTGTCTCAAAAGATTTGCTCACTATTCTCATTCTCTGCAATGCTGTACTAGGTACAAGAGGTGTTTCCCTCTGTCCTGAGGACTTCTCCTCCAACTGTAGACGATATCTACAGCTGCTGCAACCAACTACCAAAAACTTAGTGGCTTAAGACTACACAGATTTAATATCTTATAGTCCTGAAGACCAGAAGCCCTCGATGAAGGTGTGAGAGCTCAGCTCTGTTCCTTCTGGAGGCCCTGTGGAAGGGCTTGCTGATTGTTTGTTTTCTCCGCTTCTAGAGGCTGCCTGCATTCCTTGGCTCAGGGTTCTTTCCGTCTTTTTTTTTTTTTTTTTTTTTTTTTTGTTTTTTTTTTTTGGAGTTGGAGTCTCACTCTGTTGCCCAGGCTGGAGTGTGGTGGCAAAATCACAGCTCACTGAAGCCTCCAAATCCTGGATACAAGTGATTCTCCTGCATCAGCCTCCCAATTAACTGGGACTATCACACCCAACTAAGTTTTGTTTTTTTTTTTTGGAGTCAGAGTCTTTCACTCTGTCACCCAGGCTGGAGTGCAGTGGCACACTCATGACCACCCCAGTGGTTCCAAGTAGCTGGAACCACAGGCACATGCCACCATGCCCAGTTACTTTTTTATTTATTGTAGAGATGAGGTCTCGCCAAGTTGCCCAGGCTGGCCTCGAACCCCAGGGTTCAGGCAATCCTCTCACATCGGCCTCCCAAAGTGCTGGGATTATAGACTTGAGCCACCGCGCCTGGCCTGACTAAGTTTTTTTAATTTTTTTTAAGAGGCAAGGTCTCACTATGTTGTCCATAGGCTGGTCTCAAACTCCTGGTCTCAACGATCCTCTTGCCTCAGCCTCCCAAAGCGCTGGGATTACAGACATGAGCCACCATGCCCTGCCATTCTTCCTTCCTCTTCAAATCTCTCTGAACTCTGTTCCTGACACATCTTCTCTGGCCCTCCCACCTCCCTCTTATAAAGACCCTTGTGATTATGCCACACCTATTTGGATAACCCAAGATAATATCCCCACATCAAGATTCTTAATCGCAGCTGCAAAGTCACTCTTGGGAGAGGGACACTATTCTGTCTTCCACAATAGCCTGAGCCAAGTCCAAACCTTTCTCCTCCTTTCTTTTTCAAAAACCCTAGCTCTTTTGAAGAGTATGTCACTTTTATCCAATTAACCTTGTTACTGTAACCCAATGCTCTCAAACTTTGCTGTTAACTGGAATTGCCTTCAGAGTTTTTAAAATTCCCAGTGCATAAGTCATCCCCAGACTCATCCAATCACAGTGTCTGGGGATGAAAGCCAGGTACCAGCACTTTAAAAAAATATCTCCAGGAATTCCATCATGCACAATTTGGGAACCATTCTATGATGGAATTCCCCAAAATGACCCACCATAACCACACCCCTTTACTGATGGATGTGACAGGACAGCCCACATCATCTCAGAGTCCCATGTGGACCCCTGGACATGGCTGGCTTGGGTCCAGCCTGCAGTGCTCCCCTCCGGAATCCCCTGACCTCAGGAGATCTGAGATCTCCATTCCTTCAGGCTTATTTTCTTTCTTTCCTTTTCTTTCTTTCTTTTTTCTTTTTCTTTTCTTTTCTTTTTTTTTTGAGTCAGAGTCTCACTCTGTTGTCTAGACTGAAGTGCAATAGCACAATCACACTCACCACAGCATCAGCCTCCTGGGTCAGGTGATCTTCTCCCCTCAGCCTCCCAAGTAACTGGGACTACAGGCATGTGCCCCCACAGTAGGCTAATTTTCTTTTTAATTATCTGTAGAGATGAGATCTCATTCTGTTGCCCAGGCTGGTCTTGAACTCCTGGCCTCAAGAAATCCTCCCACTTCGGCCTCCCAAAGTGCTGGAATTATAAGCATGAGCCACCATGTCTTTCTTCTGTCCCTAGCAGTCATGGTTCTACACTATACTCCTTTCCTCATACCCTTTGCCCTGCTGTATGAGCCTGGCAAAACACCAGCCCTCACATGCAGCCACTGCACCCCAGCCTGCACTAGCTGCTTTGGGGAACCACAGTAGGCTGATGGAGCTTTCTTGACATTTGTGACCCCGGATCCCAAACACGTCTGGGATTCAGCTAGTCAATGCTGTCTAATTCCCTAATACATTTATTTTCCCAATTTGCAAAATGGCTATTCTTTCCTCAGATTTCCCAAACTGATCCCTCTCAGTGATGACCTCAAATCTCTCTCTCTCCAAAGAGATAATAGATGGCTTCAAGGCCTTAGTTTCCCCAACACGTTTGCATGGAGACCCACCCACATACTCTGCCTCCCCTTCTGTTTCAAGAAGAGGCGGCCTGCTTCCGAGGCCACGCCCCCGCCTGAGGGCCACGCCCCCGCCTGAGTCTGGGATCCACCGTGCTCAGTCTTCCCACGCATTTTGTTATTGCAGTTATTCCCGTTCTTTCCTTCCATTGTTACCGCTGCGATTATTACCATTACATAAAAACATGCTTTGCTCCCTCTCTCAGCTTTTGAAATTCTTTACAAAGGAGTTAAGTCATACAAAATATGTTCTGGACCACAATGGAAATAAGTTGGAAATCAATAGCAAAAGAGTCAAAATCTCCAAAGAAGCTGAAAACTTTAAAAAAATACAATTCTAAATATTGTTAGTCAAAGAAGATATCAAAATGTAAATTAGAAAGCATTTTGAACTTAATGAAATTGAAAACACAACATATTGATAAAGTCGTGCTTAGAGAGAAATTTATACCACTTAATTCCCACATTAGAAAAAAGTGACCCAAACAAATGACTTTAGCTTCCATGTTAAGAAATCTTTAAAAGAGCAAATAAAATTCAAAGTGAGCAGAAGAAAGGAAATAAAGATCAGAACAGAAATCAGTATTATGGGAGAGGGGAGGAAAAAAAAAGAATCAATGAAACCAAAAGCTGGTTTCTTGAGAAAATTCAAGCTAATTGATAAACCTCTAGCCAGATCAGAAAAAAATATGAGAGATGCAAATTACCACTATCAGAAATGAGAATTAGCATCATTCCCAATTTTAAGAGTATAATGGAATATTATGGACAATTTCATGTCAATAGAATCAACAACTTTAATGACATGTACAAATGTTTTGAAAAACACGAATTAAGCTCACTCAAGAAGAACTAGAAAGCCTAAATAGCCCTATATCCCTAAACTAGGGCTCCAAAAAAACCTTTAGGGGAAAAAAGAAGGAACCACTGGTTGAGGCACAGCTGGAGATCACAGCATGGGCTTGACAGAGAAGGTGGAGTCAAGGTAACAGACACACAGGCATAACCAGCTCTGCTTGGGAAAAGCGAAGTCATGATGAGATCACAGCTCTCCCCACATCTGAGTCACTAATCACACACACTCGGATCAAACACACTCAGATTACACTGAGGAAGTTGAATGGAGTGCTAATATTTTGCCACAACTTGACAGAGCTTTGGGAGTCTGTTTTCAGTTGAACCTCGTTCCTGCGTCTACACATCTCACTGGGAGAATTATATATAGATCAGTCTAGGTCTATGTAGATATATATATATTCCTTGGACAAACCTACATGTAGACATTTTTGGCACCCATAGGAGTTATGTAAGGAATAAACAAAACATTCCTACAACGGGTTTGGCATACAGTAAACATCCCCTCCCACTTGGGGCCGCACTGGGAGTCACAGCGCGATGTAGCCTGCTCACACCTGTTGTCTCACTGTACGTCTTTTCTCTAATTTTCTTGAGTATCCCTTAAGCAACCAAGGTGGATCTGTGTCCAGAGAGGCGGTTATCGTGTCTTAATAATTTCATCGCATCTCAGGAAAAAAAAAAAAAAATCATTAGCATTTTGCAGTTGATGACGGACGCACGCCCAAGAAAATTACTCAGCACTTGTTTTCCTCCCTTTGGGGGGGTCTCCAAGAAATAATTTATTCGGCCCAACCGCCATGAATCTGTGGCATCCCGCTGGCCCATCACCGTTCGGTCTGGCTTTGGGGGAAGCACATCTCGCAGATCACCCTTGGCTCGGAGCCCGGAGCCAAAAAGGGCGCAGCGCCGGCAGGGGGCGGACCCGGGAGTTGGGGCGTTACGAAATCTTCGGGAACAGACTGCCCCTCTTCGGAGGGGAGGGACCGAGGCCGGGTGCCTTGTTCTGTGGACTGGCAGCGCTGGATCCCAGGACTCGGTTCTGCGCGACTGCTCTGACTCCCGCCCGCCTCCGCGGTGCGCGCCGGGGGTGGTCCGCAGCAGGGTCCGCTCTCCGCGCCAGGTGCGCCGCGCGCCCGGCTCAGCCATGTCGTCCTGCAGCCGCGTGGCGCTGGTGACCGGGGCCAACAAGGGCATCGGCCTCGCCATCGCGCGCGACCTGTGCCGGCAGTTCTCGGGGGACGTGGTGCTCACGGCGCGGGACGTGGCGCGGGGCCAGGCGGCCGTGCAGCAGCTGCAGGCGGAGGGCCTGAGCCCGCGCTTCCACCAGCTGGACATCGACGACCTGCAGAGCATCCGCGCCCTGCGCGACTTTCTGCGCAAGGAGTACGGGGGGCTCAACGTGCTGGTCAACAACGCGGGCATCGCCTTCAAGAGTAGGTGCGGGGCTTAAGATCCGGGTCCCTGGGGTGCCCCGAGGGTGCGGGGCAGCCAGCTGCAGGCTTCCCCGCCGCCCACTTGAGTGACCGAAAAGGGCGGCGTCGGCCCCTGGGGATGCGCTCAACCCTGGCTCCCG